CAGATTCAAAGAAGTTGTTGATCTACATTCATTGTTGAGTTGAAAATTCTTAACGCTTGCGATGAGATTGTATATCGTTCACAATAGGCGACAAGAAATTTATTGTAATAGTACTCACAACTAGTATAAAGTTGTTGCATTTGTAACGCTTATGAAGTCTCTATCAAAATGTGTTGTATTAACAACTTGATACCCATCTAAGCACTGCTGATCCCTGAATCTGAGAAAAATGATTGCCTGATACAAATATTAGTTGCTGACAAGTTTGATTTTTTTTTTAAAAAAAAAAAAAAGCTGAATTACCGACTAAACTAAAATGGTGAATGCACTTTGACGGTATGACATGGAATATACAATTGCAATATTAGAAATTAGAAAAGTGATAACCTGTCAAGAAAGAAGCAATTGGTTTCTATCATGGAGGTCAACCATTTTGAAAAGATTAAATAGAAAAATAAAAATTAGTGCGTTCAGCTGGATGGTTTTCAGTTTGACTAAATTAAGTGATTATGCAATTGGATTTTTCGTAGGTGCACTGTCTTCCATGAAAGCTGTGTCCAGATCCAAGGATGTCAAATTGGTTATCCTCTCAAGTACAATCAATTGGTACAAGGAATGCTTATATATACTAGGAAAGTCACTTCTCATTGTAGATAAAAAGTTTGGTACCATTCGAAAAAGATGTTCCGTATTATATTGGAAATTATCATCTTGATCTTAGGATTGATGTCGATTTGACTCTCCAAAAAGCAAAACTTCAGAGGCCCTTTGAATTGCTATGTTTTAGAGTTTTTGTAGATTTCGAACAACATCAAATTTTTTATTTAACCAAATTTTTTTTGCTTTTTTTTGGATAGGTTAAAAAAACCTTCTCAGTTTTTGATAGAAAAAGAGTTCTGGCGTCAAAGATCAAGATATATCCTTAAAACCATAAATCGCTTATAGAATATCTACAGATTTCCAACCAACACAGCCTTGAAATTGATGTGCCTTCCAAATTTTGGAACTTTGGAACTCATAGTTTCTTCTATGATGATTACGCTTCATACTTACTTATTAATTTCCATGATGACTTCATAAATAGTAATAAATAAATAATAAAAATGGAGACGCTATCAATGGGCACAATGTTTGGAATGCCTATTAATAATTTTTAGTGACTGTGTATACAGAAAAGCAAAAGGCATGCTGCATGTGAGGTATAAACTTATGCAGCATGTCATAATAAAAATTCCTTCGACTACTTTATGAGACATTATTATTATCTATTGGGTGACTCTGCATAGGATTGAGCCTTGGATTTCAAAATCAAACATATGTTTGATTGTTAAACCGTTCCAAAGATTATGCGTAAGCAAAAATTTCTTAGTTGAATACGCGTGCAAATTAGGCATCATATTGTATTAGAAAGTTATAACAGATTTTTTTTACAAGTTTGTTTTGCCTTTTATTGGTACAACCATATGGGGTACATATTATAATGGAGAAAAAAAAAAAGGAAAGTAATCTAACGTAATATTTAAAAGAAGTCATGTAGGTTATTTTTATCTCTAAACTCTATTCTATGTTTGTTTTTTATTCTAACAAAGACAAAAACGCACACATGGACGCACACACAAGTGACATGTTGCAAGGCTCTTGCCTTGACCATGATTAGATATATCTCATTATTATTAAGTATCATAACCTTCAAAAATTTCTATGTACATCATTTGATTACTATACATTTTATCTACGCATGTCGTTTAAGGAGGGTCGGATAGTAAGGGATGAGGGATTGTAAATTGAATAGTAAGCTATGCATGTTGTTTGGTTGGATCTTACTCAAATCCGATCTAAACTCATCATAATTTTTAAATTCAAACAAAGAATTATTGGTCCAAGTAAAGTTTGAATTCATAAAATTCAAATCCAATCCTAGGCCATATGCAGATCCATAAATTAGATAATAATAATATTACGAGTAATTATAGCTAGTATTTCATTCTTTTGAATTATAAGTCTTTGCATGCAACATTCTTGAATATTAATTTTATAATCCGAAAATGGTGATTGGGGTTTATTTTATGTTATGTTTATATACTTGTTGGATATCTACGCCATGGCTACTAGCCTATGTGTGCACGAATTTAGTAGGTATGGATTTTGCATGTAATAGATTCGACTGAGACCCTATCTATTGAGACACGTGTAACTCTGACATTTTCAATAATCTGTTTCTTTTCTCGTCCGCAACGAGTATGAAATTCTTGAATTCCAGTCATGAAAGATATTCAATGGGTATGAAATTCATCTCGATTCTGTGAAAATCAAAAGAAGAAATAATGCAGTAACAAGAGGGTCTTCTGGGTATTTTCATTTTTTCCACTGTTCTCCTCTTAATTTCATATAATTCTTCATCAATAGAAATAAAAGCGTGGAAGAAGGTGCGAAATTCTGGCAACGTTCGATGCGGACACGGGAGGCGTGACAGTATTCATCCACCAATAACAAAGTGACGCGTACCCTCCAAAACCCGAGCTCACCAACGCTGTCTTATACGCAAATTAATCGTATCCCACGCGCTTATTCAAGAGTGTGAGTCACTGCTTATTTAAGATGGGATTGATTGTATACTTCTTGATAAAAAAACTGCTTTCAAATGTCAAACCTCTCGAGTCCTTGAGGTTCATGCGTTAATTAACGGTCACTTTTAACGAAGTTGGAGAGTGTTTACGGACTCTGACAAAGAGAGTGGGGTGATTAATATGTTAGTTAAACGTAATGAAACATGTAAACATCATATGAAAGTGGAGGTTAGTTTCAGTTGCAGTTCTGTTGTGCTGTGGTAGTAAATTTGCGGGAATCTAACGGCTGGATTTTGGAGTCCAAATTGGATGGCTGGGATCTAGTCTGCTGTCAGAGTTGTTGCATAGTGGAAACTGGAAAGACGAGATTGACTATTCTATTCCCTTGGGGAAAAAAAAAAGAAGAAGAAAATTGACTCTTGCATTTGGGACTTCGTGTCTTTTGACCAAAAAAAAAAAAAAAATTTTTTTTGGGGCTTTTTGAGTTTTTCTCCTTCATATTTCCCTTTCCCTTGTGACTGTTTTGATTCTTGAAGGATCCAAATGTCAGAGCATAGTTTAGTTGGGAAGTACACAGGAAATAAATGCACAACTTTATGTGACAAAGAATATCGCTGAAAGGTGAATTGGCACGAGAGAATTCGATTTGTGTAGATACATGAGATCTTATAAGATCTCATTGTGGAGGAGGAGGAGGAGACAATTGTACCAAAAAGACAATTGTTTGAAAAACGTGGACATAAAAAAAAGATTAATCTCTTGTATGTCGATACATTATCGAATTCAGATGTATGACAATTAATGATAATTTGAATCTAAAATTTATATTTTGTACACGTGACACGTGTCTAATGCTACTAATGTCAGTATATGGAACATTAACCTAAAAGGATTAAGCGAAAGAAGAATTCGGCGAATGTTTGGGAAACCGTGCTTCTGTCATTTCTTTTTCTTTAAAAATTCTTTTAACTTGCAATTTGGTTCTTGTCAAAAAAAAAAAAAAAAAGAACTGATTTTGATTTGGTTAGTTTTATTAGATTGTTTATTAAGTAATTTGTTTTGACTATAGCCCTGAAGTCATCGCGCTTTGAGCGTTGGAACTTGGAAAGTCGTTCGTTACAGTTACATTTGATTTGTTAAATTTTGAAGAATAATTCAACTGACCAACCCAATTCAATTCGAGATTGCAGTCTTGCTGGCAGCGGTCATCAGCAGCCTTAGACGTTATTTTTTGTCTACTTAATTAAATTAGGAGGGAGTGGAGACGGGGTCGAATTCAGTCTGAATGGTTCAAAAGCTTACTTGATCAAAATCGAAACTCAATTCGAATCGACCGAGTTCAATTCAGGTCATTAAAACTCAACTGACGAAAAGCCACAAGCATTGAAATACGAAAATTACATCTGATGCCCTAAAATGAAAATGTGCTGGAAGTTAGCAATTGCACCTTCTGATTAGAGGTGAATTTCAGCATTCTACATATTAATTATGAGAGATATTCTCGAGTACATATTGCAAATAAATACACAGGACCAACATTTTTTTTCACTCTCAAGATCCAAATGCATTTTGCTTTGACAAGCAGAAATTATTCTTGGGAGTTTGAAGCTTGCAGCAGCAATAAATAAGAATACGAGCAGGCGGGTAGAGAATTCTTGGGAGGTTGACTAAGACAGGCAGAGGGCCACAGGATTGGAACTTTTTTCGTTTCTAAGATTTGCTGCATCGCATATAGTCTTTTGGCTGCACTTGAGTGAAGGGTGACGAGAGTCTTATCAGGCCTGTGTCGGCTGTTTTACTTTGCTATCATACTCTTCCAATCCTAGGAGGAAATTCTCTCTCTCTCTATATATATATATATAAAGACAAAAATAATGCTTGAACCTTTAAATTATTTTGTATCTTAATTTGATCTCTGATAGCTTAATTTCAACGCATGAAACCTTAACATTTTAATCAATCGTTTACATTTACTTCTCCTTCTTCCTCTTTTTTTTTCTTAAAAAAAATTTAAGCGGGGAAAATTACTTCTCCTTCTTCCTCTTTTTTTTTCTTAAAAAAAATTTAAGCGGGGAAAAGGACGGGAATATAAGAATGGAGGAGGAAAAATGAAGATTTGAACTCAACACCTTTAAATCTTAAAATTTGTTCGCGTTTATATTTTTACTTCAACTGACAGTGGATGCTAGAGACTAGAAGTGATAAAAAGAAAAAGATACTGAGCAAAATTGCCTCATTTTTTCAAATACACAGAACAAAACAAAAAGAAAAAAAAGGAGGAGAATTTGATTGAAAAATACAGGGAATTGGATTGAGCTTAAAAACTTTTTTATATTATTCTTTTCTCGTGTCAAGTTCCGGTGCAATATAATCCGACAATTTTACTATCCATCCTCAATTCTATAGTAATTAGGAGGAAGCAAACCAAATCGAGAAGTCAAAATGCGGAATTCCGATTGAATAGCAAAACTCAGATTCAAACACACTTACAAAATGTTGTGTGGAAGTTGGTTGAACCATGAAACATAACTTCAAAATTTAATGCTAAGGAGTAAGGACCATTTCTGTAAATTCACACACTATTATTTGGATAGGATATTATTTGGAATAATTACTGTAGCACTTTTTATGATGTGATGTATGTGAAATAAAAAGATGGTTGAAAATGTAAAAAAGTGAGTTGAAAACTGTGTTTATAATGCAAGCGAAATATTATTTGGAATAATTTTAGTATCCAAACAAACCCTTATGTTGCATGACGCTGCGGAATTGGCCCACCACACCTACAGTTGAGTTGATCATCAATAGATGTCGGGAAACCCTTCAGACAGTGTCTATTTTGCCGGAGCCAAGTCCAAAATTACAATTTGCTTTGCCTTTCTTCACTCTGTATTTCCCTTTTTTAAGTTGGTACAGAAACATTTTAACACGGCTGTGAAAGAATTGATGATCTCCTCAACTGCTTAGCAGGGAAAGCTGAAAGAAGAGAAGAGAGGACATCAGATTTATAGTGGAATCATGGACTCCCAAGGCCCTGTACAGGCTTCAAAGGATTTATCATTTATCAGTTAGAATGGTTCTACAGAAGCTACCTAAATTCTGCGCTTCAACTTCATAACTCCTCCTTGGTCCTCTGCCCTTCCAGAGTCGCCCTCTCTATACAGAACCAAAAAAAAAGATAATGAAACATAAAGAACAACATCGGACCACGCAATGGCAACACAAGTGACAGACACAACTCATCTTGGCCTTATCCCAACTAAACCAAGGACTCTGATTAGTTTTAAGAAGATTCAGTTGTTGATCAAATAACCAAGTAATACGTGATCATGATATAACATCGCTGCATGTATTACAGCACAACCAACAGAGAGCATCAGCAATTGGGAGGTATCCTCAAAACAGCGAAAATCAATTTCACTAACTTAATTACATTCTGCATCTATCGACCTTCTGGACAAATAGGCCATATAGGCATGAAAAACATCATAAGTAAATCAATTCAACACAATCTCAAGAAGCAGTCCCAGTTACCATACCAGAACACATGGTTCAAATCTTGGTACTCAACCAGAAAAATGGCTTAAAATAGTCAACTTTGTCCTGAACTGATAAAAGAAGAAATAAACCATCGACAGAAGAGGATATACTGTCAATTTTTTGGATTTTAACCTCGTTTTGTCAGCTCTCCAACATTTATCACTTTGTACCTTTACGCTTTTCCTGATACACTTTTAGGAGCTCAGCAGCTTCCTTCTCGAAGCATTCCACAAACCTCTTAAGGAAGATCTTCTCCGGATATGACAGTAAAGTTGACAGCCTAACATTCTTCTTCAACAAACCTTTACTCAAAAGAGCTTGGTGAACCAAACACCTAGGAATAATAGTTTTCTTCAAACTCAGAGTAACTATGAATGGTGCTTTCAGTATAGCAGAAGGGTCATAACCCATTTTGAGGACCAAAAAATCCATAACATCCATGATTTTACCGCTTGATATGGCCATGATGCTTGCGTGCTTCTTAAAAGCAATTAGAACCTCATTCTCAGAACAACCCCATCTCTCATACAGTGCCATCTTTTCCCTCCAAGGTTTTTTATCAATTGATGCCATTCTCCATAAACATCTTGCAAAACATCCATCCTGAGGATTAAGCCCCATTTTCTCCAACTCCTCCACAGATTCTTTCAGTACATCAGAAGGTCTCACTAATAACCTTGGCTGACTTTTCAGCAAATTTAGGATATTGGGTTCAGGAACTCCTACCTTGCGCAAAAACTCAATGTTGGCTAACATCAAACTCTGAAAACGTCTTGTGAGAATACCTGGACACCTCTTTATCGGGCATACCAAATCTTGGTAAGAGGTAAACAAATCTCGAAGGGCATTAAGTGATGGAACAATTTGGGTTTCCAAACTTCTAGTTAGTAAACTTCCTCCGGAGCTTAGCACCTTGGCGATGTCAGCAGTTGAGAACCCCACAGATTGAAAAAATTCGATCTTAGGCAAAAGGGTCTTTTGGGGACGGCAAACAAGGACACTGGGATAGCTTGAGATGATATCTGAGACTTGAGCATCAGTAAAACCGCACTTTTTAAACACTGCAAGAACCGAATTTGGTTTATCTGGGGTTTTAAAATTCACATTCTTGGCAGCTGAAATTGCTGTTTTTTCAGAAAGCCCACATAATTTTATAAGGTAATCGACAGTAAATGAATGTGGGACGTCAATTTTACCATTCAAGATGGAATTTTTACTAGCTTGTGTAGATGAGGATGATAATGGGTTGAGTTGTATAAAATGGAACTTCTGAGTAGTTGAAATTCTAATACCACTACAATATTTCTCATAAGCAAGAATTTTGCTGCTTTTGCCTACGAACTTAAACATAATGGAGTTGATGGAAGTTTCGAGTTACCTACCTTTACTTGAACCGATTCCGCAGTAGGTTGAATCCATTTCCTCCCCTAAAAGGTCCTCCCTCCTCGATAAACCCTAACTAGTTACTACACAGAAACCGTGAGTTTGAGCACAACGAATATAAGAGAATGAATTACATTTGCATCCCTCTTGTCTTTCCAAATTGTCACCATTACCCACTCAGTTTCGAAGCATCAAAAAGTACCTCTTCTAAAATCACATACTATTGTTAACTTTTTTGGTTTTGATGGCAAAAATACCCTCAGTTGTTATTAAGAAAATGTACACAGATGGATAATATGGGAAAAAGAATTGCATATACTTATTACTTGCTTGCAGTTTTGGATGAGAGAGAGGGAAAGAGAGCAAGGAAAAAGTTGGATTTCATTCATTTTTCACTTAGTATAATGCATCAATTTTGTTTTCAAAGAGAAGGGAGGAAAGAATTGCTTCTTATTTGCTCAATTTTTCAATAACTACTTAATGATAGTGAGAAATTTGTTGATGTTTGTTGCATTTCGTTTGACCTAATTAGGTTAAAATAATTGCTTAAATACAAGTAAATCCGAATCAATGTGTTTACACCACTCTCTCTTTACATTATATCGATCATTCTTGAATATGCTACATTTTTTATCCCTGAAGTGAATTAGTAGTTAGTTTGCATCAAATGTACTGGTTAGTTATTTGAAAATTATCTATAGCGTACTTTTATAACAATTTGAAGGGTATTCATAACAATTTTGGCTTTTATAATTGGTTATATTTCTTTTATGGGAGATTATAGATCTTTTTATAAGCGATTCTTAAAAAGAGGAGGTTGAGGGGTTATGACAGCACATTCAAGCTTCTGCACTTAGTAGGTTGCTCCTGATCTAATTCCCAATTGTTTCAAACTCCATATGATATAACTGGAGAGAAGGTGATAAATTAACTCATCATTCTGCAAATGGTGACTAAATGAATTCTTCATAAGCAAGGGGTAAGAATGAATTAAGCACTTAAAAGCATCCGTTCGTACTAAAACTAGAAATTTCATGCCTTGCCTTCAACAGGTAGGTAAACGAACCAGAGCTGTCGAAAGCAGTTTATTGTTTTGCAGCTCCCGACGAGAGTGGGATAACTGGCCGTTTACTAATTGCAATTAGAGATGTAATCGAGCCGAGTCGAGCTCGAGTAGTGCTATACTCGAGCTCGACTCGACTCATATATCCATAGGCTCGAGCTCGGCTCGAGCTCGATCGAGTAAAAAAAATTGATACTCGAAACTCGACTCGATGTACTCGCGAGTAGCTCGAAACTCGACTCGATAGGCTCGATAACGAAGGGTATTTTGTAAATTCCATATAACTTATACCCATAATGGTCATTTTATAATTATAATATATATATATTATTTAAATTATAAATATATTATTTAAATAACCCCGGCTCGACGAGTAGCTCGACGAGCCTCGAGCCGGGGATTTTTCGAGCCAAGTCGTTGACCAAGCTACTCGCGAGTAGCTCGCGAGTAGCTTGGCTCGCGTACACCCCTAATTGCAATCACAACTGGCGACTTTGTCCTCCCAAGTCGCTCGAGCTAGGCAAACTAGTTGAGCTCGATTTGGCTTTGGTGCTAGGCTTACAAACTTGTCAAACTTAACCAAGCGTTATACTTTTCTAAAATGATACATTCAGAAAATCATTGCATTAAGATCAAATCGAATTCACCTTTGATCAAGTTTCAACTCGAGTTCGACCAAAATTCAATTCCTTTGAATTCGAGCTCATTGAAAAATTGTACATTAAAATTTCTACCGTCAAAATTTGAGAAAATTGATTTGAGGACAATCCAAAAAATAATAAATAGTTCCATATGCTAGAAGCAACAATGAGGTTTTCTTTACACTCAATTTAATTGCCAGGAACATTAGCAAAGTGTAAAGTAAGACACAAAATAATCCTTTGCACTCTAGCCGTTAATTATCAATCACTTCCTTTCTTTCTTCTTCTTCATCTCTATCTCTCTCTCTATTTTTTTTTTTTTTTTTTGGGTTGTTCTTTTGAGGCTTCGAGTCGGTCTAGTACTACATAAAGCAAAAAATGAAAACAGAAAAAAAAAAAAATAACAACAAAAGAACTTGACATCGTAGCTCCATTAAGAGAACTAATAACAATGCGCGAGTAAAAGAGATTTATCCCTCGAAGGTCAGAATAATAGTCAAAAGCAGTGGGGTTTTGGGCGTACCAGGGAAAAAAAAAAACAGCAAGGTTTCATGCCATTGAGTTCTCGAGTTCAAATGATGATTCTCTGGCCATCCCAAAGAGCAATCTAAATAAACAGGTCAGCCCTTTGATCAAATCCATCTATCTCGGCTATGTTCAACTGTGTATGCTGCAGGGCACTGCATCATGCCAGAAAGTGCTCTGCTATTTCATCTTCTTTATCCCAGAAACTGCATTTTCTTGAATTGCATCAACCCCTTTCCTCATCAACGTCATCTATTACGAATTCCTCAAATCAGCAACCCATGAGTTTCTTACTTCATGAATTCATTTGGGTTCTCTCAAGAAAGAGCACTTTCGGCTTCCAAGTATGTTAATTTCGAAATCCCGGGAAATGCTGATGCATTGCTTCTGTTTTTGAAGAATCATGCATTTACTGATGCTCAGATCTCGACTGTCGTTAGGCTAAGGCCATCTATCCTTTTATCCCGTCCTGAGAAAACTTTGTTGCCAAAGCTTGTATTTTTACAATCTATAGGAGTCTCAGGATTAGACATTCCCAGGATAATATGTAGATCACCTAATATACTTTGTAGAAGCTTGAAAAACCAAATTATCCCAGCTTTTAATCTACTCCAAGACTTACTTCATTCGAACGAAAATATTGTATTTGCTGTTAATCGATTCCCTGAGCTTTTGGTGACAAATTTGGAGAATAAAGTGGCACCTAATCTTGAGATTTTGCGAGAGGCGGGTGTTACTGAATCGGGAATTGGGTATTGTTTGAAACATATGCCTAGGCTATTAGCTAGACTTCCAGAACATTTGAAAGAAAGCGTAGAAAGAGTTAAGCAAATTGGTTTCAATCCTCAAACAACAATGTTTCTTCAGGCTGTTAAAGTGATGGCTGCAACAGCTTTGAGGAGTTGGGATCGCAAGATGGAGGTTTATAAGAGGTGTGGTTGGTCTGAGGAAGAGGTGCTGACTGCTTTTAGGGGGCAGCCACATTGTATGCTGGCTTCCGAATCTAAGATTATTAGGGTAGTGGATCTTTTGGTGCATAAAATGGGATGCCATATTTCAGAGTTAGCCAAAAACCCACTACTGATTTTGCTGAGCTTGAACAAGACAATTGCTCCAAGGTGTTCAGTTTACAATGTTCTGCGCATGAAAGGTTTGGTTAGAAAGAACCTTAGCTTGGCAAAGTGTCTGACCTGTCCAGAAAAGTTTTTCCTGGAGAGGTTTGTTCAGCGATACAAAGAGGAAGCTCCTGAGCTTTTAGAGTTATATCAGGAAAAAATGCAACTTTCAAAGTGACTGGCACTAGGGGACAACAAATGAATGAGATATATTAAGTGATTTTCATATCAGTTTATTTCTGCTTCTGAAACACCTGTAATGTCAGCTTGTTGCCTCCTTGGGCTGTTCCTGGCTTACTGCTTACAGAATCTTTTTCCTTTCTTCTTTTCTCTTTTTCTAATTTCTCACTGCTCTCTTGCACCCAGTATTCATTTGGAATCAACTGATGGTATGAAATGGTAGCTCCTGCTGGATGATTTTTCACTAATTCATGTGCTAGTTTTTCAATCTCCATATATCACTTTTGCTCCTGGGTTGATAAGTACTGCCAAATGATATGGAGCATGAATCCAATTGAAACTTTGAGAACTTTGTCCCCTTGGGATTTAGCCCCATGGCCCCTGACTTTTGTGACGCAGAGGAGATGCTTCTGCTGATAGTGAAGTGGTATTCTCAATAGGTTTCTTTAGTTGGTCATTAGTCCCAAATTTGTGCATGTAATGATCAGAAACTTGATAAAACAAGTAATCCAATCTTTCACATTCTGAAAGGATAGTTTGCTTTGAGGAAGACAAGGTAGACACTGCATATTTTGCCTAGTAATTGGTTCATCAATCCCAAATCACATGTGAGACGTATCATCAAAGATAATCAAAGGCAGGATACTGAGTCTAACATCACTTTCTTTGTTTTGACAGCATTGTGAAATGTTAGCACAACAATAACAATCGTGGAGGTTTCATTATGGCTGATACATATTATTCACTGGTCTGTGTCAGTATGTCGGTGTGTCATGTGTATACGTGCTTAAATGTATATCTGTATTGTATGCATATAATGTGCATGAAAATGTAGCAAGAACTTTGCTCTAGTTGGTAAGGCTTCATGTAGTATGTACTAGAAATGCTCTTTGCTGGCTTAGACCTGTTGGATTCTATTGGAGGGTGGATTTCCTGTTGGTCTTTGCTAGTGCTAATGTTGTTGTCCAATAGGAACTGGAGAGGACTTGCTGAAACCAGTCGAATGGCAGAGCATATACAATTTGCACTGCTCAATCTGCTTGATTCATTGCCCATACCGTTTCGCAGAATATTCACATATCATCTTTGTTGCTGCATGTGGCATTTTTTTGGTTGCATTCGAGAAGAGACAGTAACAGGGCATTTGATTCTTCAACTTATGCCCGTAACTTCTGTCCTTGTCTACATGATACTTCATGCTTGACGAGAATGGGGTGCGCATGGACCAATTTGGACTATTTCTTCCCTCCTTGGCATGGTTGGTTTGAAAGTTGATGTGCCATCAACAGAAATTCACGTGTAAGAAATGCTGTTGATGTTGCAATATATTACTCGAGTGAACGGAAATTAGATAAAAGGTTTATTCCACATCTGTCCTTGTCGGTATATGCTGAAACATAAGGTTGAAGAGGTTTACTTGTTATGGCTGTTCAGTAGGAATTCTTGACCATTTGTGTCGTCTATGGGCTAGCTAAAGCTGTGTTGCCCATAATCCAACAATTTCTTATTCATTCAATTCCCTCCATAAAACCTCCTCCGGTTTAGTTGATGATCCCACACCAACTCCAGATAGACAGAAGAATGTTGGTGGAGGAAGCTCTCGTGCAATTGAGCTCATACAAGGAAAGTTTAGAACGTTCGGATTCACCACCATGTTGGGAATAAAGCTCCAGTTAAGCTTCAAATATATTCGTCATCTATCACCCTCTGCTGCTTGACAAAAGAAGTTAAACAAAGATGACTTCAAAATTGAATTTGCCAGTTATTCATCAGTGTCTATATACTTAAAATGAGCGAGCTACTTGATCTTTCAAATTAGAGTGTCGATTCGATTGTATCTGAAACCCCAAAAGCACAATTGTAAGTATTTACTCCAGTCACCAACAGGTTAGTACAAACTGAACCGAATGTAATACTACCTGTAATACTAAACACAAAATGAAAAAGAATGGATCCCACGGGGAAAAAATAAAACTTAGCAGAACAACAGACAAGTTACAAGTTGTTGAAATGTGATTTTCCTGACAATGACAATTTGTAGGAGAAAAGATTTCTCTTCTGCAGCCCGTCGTGGTTAAAAACCCAGTTAACAAGGCCACTGAAACTACACAACATCTGCCTGGTGGCCGACTTCCTCAGCCACCCGATCTATGCATGACTTTTAAAGGGGAAACATAAGCATCCTCACTTTGCGACGGTACTTCGGCTCGAGTCTTGATTGTTCCCCTCTAATAGACTCCAGGAATCACCAAACACTGAATTCACTCAAGGTCATTGTTTCATCTTTTTTTTAGGTCTTTTCTTCTTTCCATCCGTAGAGTCCTTTAAGTTCTGTATGAATAACAATAGTCAAAGTTAAAATGAACTAACAAATGATAGGGAAACTTGAATATTTAAGCACCCAGAGGCACCACCTTCATTTTTTTCTGTTGCTTTCTATCTGACTTCTTTCTCTTCTTCTTACGCTTCTTTGACACAGAGATCTTAACCTCCTCTTCAGCTGACTCCTGCCCATGTGTACAAGAAGTTAGGAAGCTGATTATAGCATAGTGACCAAAGTAAAAGTAAAATTCAACTTTCCTGGTATGTTCTTTATGGGAAATTGCTTGTATGAATGCAACTGTGGATTACCTCAGAATCACCAAAAGAATCCACATGATGAATTGTTCTTCCAGAACTCGAGGTCCCACCTGCAATGTTCATCCACAAACAAAAAAGGAAAAATTAGACCCAACCAAATACTTTAGGCAATTAAAGAACCCATTTTCATCTTATTTTTGACATGACAAAGTTTCACTAGATTATGAGCATAAAATATGTCAAGAATATACAAGAAAACTATCCTTACAAGGTTTTATGCATCAAAAAATGGTTCTTATATAGTCACAAAATTATTACTCCTGCTGCTTTTCCCTTTAAATACAATATACAGAATATGCAGCTGAACATCCAAGAAAGAATCCAAAGTAGCCAACCAGTGATGGAAACCAAGGCCCAAGAATGAACTTACAACAATGCATTTTCTAAGCATGAATAAAATCTAAAGTAATTTTGTCTTTCAAGAAATTTTGCTATCTTTTGTTCTTTTGATGATTGAAGAAAATTCCATTTGATTAGGATGTGAAAGGATAAATGCTACGTAACAACCAGTCTCAAGTATCTTCCCAACTTCCGTAAAGAAGAATACAAACCAATTTTGAAACAAGAAATAGTACTGATTCAGGTTTGACGCAAAACTTATGCTTTATGAGTTACATTCCAGCTGCAGCAACCCAAGATAACCAAATGACTCTAAAGTTAGCAGGATATTGATATGTGATGAAGAAACACAGCCAAAGATCCAAGTAGTCAGTGTTAAATATTGGACAAGTAATCATCAAGCTTACTCATTCTAAAGATCTATTTTGCTCAGATGTAAGGATTACTTTCATGAGATGTGCAGAGCATGGAGTCTTTACAGTTTATTCTAATAAGAGAGCCAAAAAGTCCTATTCTTTGTCAGAGCCTGTATCTCACTCATGGTTAAGATTAAAAAACATTCCTTAATCTGGATAAGCAAGAGAACCCAACCTTGTAAATCAACATATCTCCCAAGATGATAAAAAAATTTGCTTATCTCATAAAAAGATCGAGAATAACACATCCAGATCCAATTACAATCAGAAAAACTTGACTAATTCAAACAGAAAAATGTCAGCCAAAAGTTCGAATCTCATCCATATTTTAAAAACCAAATAAATGAATATACAGCAGATTTCAGTTCCACTTCTCGGACCATTAAAACTTATCAACCAGCAATTTGCTTTCAATAACTGAGAACTTACTAGACATACTACATATTTCCACTTGCTTGATATAATTCTCAATGCCCAAGATCCTAAAAACTAGCATCATTACACCTAACAAGCAAAATATGCCGGAAAAACTCCAGAAGATTGATAAACATGTAGTCAAAAGGCCCAAAACAGTTAATATAGATGAAGAATAAAACAGTTAATATACATGAAGAATAGACTAGAAAAGATTACTTGGATTAACGGCATCTTTGGCATTTTTAACAGCCAATTCAACAAGTTTGGGATCAACAGAGGCCAATCCATTTGGCTCCTGCAATTTTCTCTTCAAGAATTTAGCTAATGCTGCTGCTTTATTAGTTTTCAATGGCCCGCCCGGATGAGCTTGCCTAAAACACGAACACACACACACACAAAATTCATCAGTTATCACTAATAAATTGCATTTTTTCCTCACAACCCAGATTAAAAAATCGCATTTTTTTGGTACATAATTAATAAAATATACAGAATTTGGTCACCATAGGGTGGGGTGGGCTACCTGGGTTGATGGCGGGGTTGAGGAGCAGATGGAAGCGGTGCAAATTTACTCCCTCTTAGTGCCCTTTTCTCCTCTTCTGTTAGTCCTTCCAAATCTCTATCTTTATGCGTATATCTATCCATGTATGTATTGTTACGTATGGCTGCGTTCGGCGGCGGACGGCGGGGGAGGGTGGTGTTGGGAACTTTGAACTTCACTTATTATATTTGTTGATATTGGAATAACAAACAGCGTCTTACTACTATTCAAATTCAATTGGCCGTGCAAAGGCAACGTCCTAAACCTAGAATTATTAGAACATTTTAAAGAAATATATATAGTGTCCTAATTCTTGTATTTTGGTGGAAAACTAGTCCAAAAAAAGAAAAAGTTGAAAGCTCGGTTGCCAAATTTACTGCTTCTTGCCAATATTCAAAGTAAAAATAAAATTTCTAAGTTTGAACCAATTGTGATTCTTGTATTAATATTATAGTTGTGGGCTATATAAACAATTGTTATTTCTTGTATTAGCCTCATAATTTTGAGGGGAAATATATATACATGTATATCATAGTTGTGGATTATATAAATAGTTGCTTTTTCTTGTATTAGCCTCACAATTTTGATGGGATATATATATATATATATATATATATGTATTTACGTACATATGTATGTAAGGCCGAAAAGAAAAGGTAAAACCTTTGTCTGCATCATCCTAGGTTCTTTTGGTTTGGAATTTTCGGTTTCTTATCAAGTGCAATCAAAATCAGTTTGAAACCTTTGTCTGCATCATCCAAGGCTCTTTTGGTTTGGAATTTTCGGTTTCTTATTCAATGCAATCAAAATCAGTTTGACTTTAGGGTGAATCAAGTGTCGACTAAAGTAAGAGACTTGATGTGTACAGAGTGTCTCCCTCCGACCATGAGAACAATAAAAAGTGCCACCAATCAGTTTTCTATCCTCTCTTCTGGCTTTGTCCTCAGCATTTTATCATAACATAAAAACTCGTCAACTTGAAAATGAAAATGATAGTACAAATTAACAAACCAGCAGAAAGTTCAATCATAAGAAGACATTATTGTGCCTATAAAAACCAGAGCACAAGATCAAGATGGATGCTAAAATGACATTAATGATCATAACACTTTATTTCCCAACTTTCCTGTCACCTGCAGCAGAAAACTGCAGGTCCATGCTTTCAACAAAACTCTAGCATCCTAGCCGCATAACTTAGGGGACAATACTTTGTAAAGGGGAGCTAGCAGTTTATGGAACAACCCAACTGCGACAATATGGAGCCACATTTTTGAGCCTACTACCCTAAAACCCAGGCCATGAAATGTCAGGCCATTCCAATTGTATGTATGAAAGAATTGAAATAAAATCACCATAGAGAAGATTTCTCCTTGCTGGTGCAGAAATGGTGTCAGCAAAAACAGACTAAAAGCCACCGGATTGTAAAAGCCGTCGCCCAATCTGATGCCTTTTTGTCTACTACCCAAGCAGGAACCTGAAAATATCACTTAATGTTACAATACCTTCCACCCGCTTGCTTCCAGCTTCCACTATGACAAGCCGTCTCACCCCTGCAATCATAACTTCCAAGTTTCATGCATCTCGTGATAGGGTGATGACCTTACCATTAAAATAAACAAAACCTAAACCTCCACAAACAAAGAAAACACTGCCAATCCTTGGAACTTTAGCACAAAAAATCTGATAGATTTTGGCACAATAAATAACCTGGTTTGGACAATCTCTCCATGATCTTGTGTAGCGGATCAGTTGGCAAACACATGTGACATCTTTGCTGGCTGATCCCATGTGGGGAATACGGTTCTTCACCTAGCTGCAAGGCCTAAGATGCATTCCAGCATAAGGAGAAAAGCAAAAGAGATGAACAATGAAGCTAAGACAGTGCATCAGAAAATTTAACGTCATGTATACACTCGAACTTGTAGCCAAAGCCTTAGGCTTTGCAAGGACACTCCCAACTAAGGCGATATGCTTACCCGATGAACAGTCGTCTCCTCAAGATTAATATTTGTATAAGATTTGTCCTTGGCCAATGCAGTAATATCGCTGTCAAAGACACAATCAACATTT